GGGGGGGTCCTAGAATCTGCATTTCTAATGAATGTCTAACTAACTGTGTGATTTTAATCTTTGGCTTAGGACTCCAGGTGAGGCGCTGTAGGATCAGCACTGGATTGTGAACCACAAGGTCAACAGTTCAAACCCACCAGCTGGTCCTCGGAAACCCTACACAGGGTCACTGTGAGTCGGAGTCAACTCGATGGCACCACCACCAACAGTAACAGCAATCTTTGGCATATCCTGCATCCAGGATACAATCCTGTTCTTTCTTTCCTCTTATTACAAAACTCATCAGGGAAGAAAACCATTTTAGAAGAGTTCATTAAGGTTGACCTCCAAAGACAGAAATCAGTAGCAAGTTGATTCTGTGCTAACAATCTAAATGTCTTCAACGTGCTCATTTAGAGCTCAAGTCAGGCAAAACACAGATGTGTTATGTAGGTTTAATTCTGGCAACTACTTACCCTGTGAAGTAGTTATTATGATACCCATTTTGAACCAAAATACCAAACAAGCTGCCATCAAGCGGATTCAAATCATGGCAACCTCAATACGTGTCCGAGCAGAATGATGCCCCACAGAATTTTGAAAGGATGATTTTGCAGAAGTAGATCTCCTCCGGGGTACTTCTGGACTAACTAGAACTGGCAACTCAGAGCACTAACAACTTGTGCCACCCAGGGATTCTGCACCCACTTTACAATTGTTGGAAATGAAGATTATAGAGGTTAAGTTATTTGCCCAAAGTCACATAGCTGGAAAATGGAAGGGCGGCAAAGATTTAATTCAGGGTTTTTCTGACTCTAAAACCTGTCCTTTATCTAAACCACCAAAAGATCTCACTCTCCCAGAACATAGAAATCAGCAGCCCATCCAAGAAAGAAGTTGAAATTTCATCTGAAGTTCTTTTCTTATAATTTATATTTAAATTATTTTACACATTTGAAAAATAATGCAACTTAGATTATTGCTGAACTAGAACTGAGCTCTACAAATTGACTTTTATAAAAAAAAAAAAAAAGGATTATTCTATTAAGCTTTACATTTTCTCAAAATTACTTAAATAGGAAAAAAAAGGAAAGAAAAATGTCCAATAAGCAATATGATCCTTGCATATAAATAGTAACTGAATAGACACAGACTGTAAGGAGATATGTCATCATTATCATCACATATATAGGGTATCTAGAAGGAAAATTAAGGTCATGTGTCTTATTGATAAAAATCACAAAGTCTTAATTGGATTTTTCTTTTCTCTTAGACTTGATGACTTTTAAACTCAATGAGGTGTTCACATATGGTACAGAAATTTATTCGAACCAAGATAATTTATGGAGTTAATGGATTAAACTTTTTGACAGGGTTTTAAATATTTACAAAGTGATTTTAAAGTTTATGAGCAGGGGTAATAGCATGAATTTCTCTTTCAAACATTAACTGAGCAACTCATCTATGTAAGCTGAGATGAATAAAGGGAGATAGGTGCCCATATGGCAGCCCACAAGGGGCTCGAAAACATCCCTGTAATAAATCAGCATCGCAGAGCCAGTCACATGTGGTTAACATGGCAGACTCTGTAATTACATGTAAGTCGGTCCAGCACCCATCAAAACAAACAGCGGGCCGAGTGGAAACTCAGCAAAGAAAACAAACAAACATGAAGCACCCCCCACCCCCCCATGCACATACACGCACCTTGTCATTGCTGATCTCTCTTAGAAAGAGAATTCTAGTTACCCACGTGACCTACATCTGATCAAATTGTCAGGTACAACTCATTTTGACAGTCAGCTGACATACAGACACATCATAGCATATGCAGTCTTTATTTTATGATGTCTGTTACAAATCATTACCAAATGTGTCTGTCTAGACATTGTCTAGCCCAGAAAAGCACAACACAGAAGCAAAGATGCAATAAGGACTAGTGAAAAGTGGGAGATGGTTTTCTAATCAAATCCAGATAAGACCTTTTTAGCATCGGTTGAACAAGACATTGTCAATATATCTATATATTGATTCTATCTTTAGTAAATGTGAATATATTCATGAATGAAAGCAAAGTAACTAAATTTGCATGGTAAGTTTTGTTTGTTATATATGTTGAAATTCAATTTTCAAAGTAAACAAGAAAATATAGAATTTTATCCATTTAAAATCAGCTTCTACCCCCCTTCCCCCCCCCAAAAAAAAAAAATTTCGGTGTCTTTCAAATATTCATTTTAAGAAGCACCAGATTGTTTTCACCATGAGAGTGAGGCCCCGCATATTGATCATTGTATTAGATTCTCTGTAAACCCATAGGTATAAACTACATCGTCAAGGCCCTGTTAGCAGAGGGGAGTTTGAACTCTCAAGACAGGTCAAATAACAAGAGAGGCAGAGAATGTAAAAGACACAGCTTTGGCTATAGTCCATCACCATCTCTGAAGCAAGAGCTATATAACCTGCTCTATGGACCAATAAATAATATCATGATAAATGGAGAAAAGATTGAAGTTATCAAAGACTTCATTTTGCTT